ACTTGTCGATAAGGCTCAGCGTGACGGGATATAGGCCGATTACATTATGTAGCATAGACTACAAGATTTTCACTAAGATCATTACGCGGAGGCTCCAGTGTGGCATTCGGGACCTCATCGGGGATCATCAGACATGTGGCATTAAAGGAAGGTCCATTTAAACTAATATCCATAGAGCGAGAAGCATTTTTGAGGCTGTTGGGAGGGATAAAGTGGCAATGATACAATTAGACTTGGAGAAAGCGTTTGATAGAGTTAGACATGATGTTCTAAAGAGTATTTTATTGCGTGTTAATGTAGGCAAAGTTGCCCTAAAGGGCGTGGATATGGCGTACAAAGCTTGCACCACCAGGCTGGTTTTAAATAATAATGTTTTAAGAAAATTGCAGTGCTTTCGTCAGTCAGGCAGATATGTCCCCTTTCACCTTTACTATTTGCTCTGTACCTTGAACCTTTCTGTGTAAGCGTGATAGATAGCAAGAATATCCGGGGGTTTCTTTTCAATAGTGCTGAAGTTAAAGTGTCCGCATACGCTGACGATGTGGCTAATTTTTGTAAAGACGAAGAAAGCGTCATGGAAACTGTCGTCCTCACGAAAGAATATTGTAACGCCACAGGAGCGGCAGAGAACTGGGAAAAATGTTGTGGGGTGTGGCACGGGAGGTGGGCTTTAAAACCGCATTACTCTGCAGGCTTTAATTGGGAAGCGACGCCATGTACGTAACTTGGGATGCCATTGGAACATTACAAAGTTAGCACGCCGTACTGGACGGAGCTCGCAAAAGATTTGAAGACGAAGGCGGACACTTGGGTCAGTCGGAACTTGTCAATTTTTGCGCCCGCCACAGTGTGTAATATTTTTTTTTTATCGCAAAGATCTGGTACATTATGCAAGTTTTGGCATATACACGAATGAGTATTCAAAAATTCCATAGGGTCTTCGCCACTCTCATCTGGAAGTCCGGGTGGGAAAGGATGCGAAGAGATAACCTTTTCCGGAGCGTCAGTTCGGGAGGCCTTGACCTCTCGCATCTTTTCGTCCGCAAGATTGTTTCTCTCTTTTTTTTCCTACGCGACCAGAATCATCCTTTCCTACGAGCAATTATCCAGGTGAGACTGGCGAACTCTTTGCCGGCAGTGTTGGTGACTAGTGAATGTACTGATACCCCTTGTTTTTCTGGTTATTTAAAATAAGTGAAAGAGGCTGTATTGTTTTTGCGAGCGCGTTTTTCGATGGACTACCTGGGTAGTGTCACTAAAAAGAAGCTCAGTAGTGTCCTGATTAAGCTCCTTTTCCCTGCGCCACTGTGTCGATCGGTGTACAGCCAATGTCCGGGTCAAGATGTGCTCCGGTGTGATAAAAGGATGTGTGTTCCACCAGGGGTTAAGAGTTTTTCTTTTTTTTTTAAATTGCACAGCGAGACATTGCCAGTAAAGCCATGGCTAAGAGATAAGAGGATCTTTGTTCCTTGGTCGGTGGATTGTCTCCTGTGTAAGACACCAGAAACCATCGAACACGTTTTTATTTATTGTTGGGATGCTGTGTTTTCTTTTTTTTTGGGGGGGGGGGGGGGGACATTCTTTAAAGGACCCTGAAATAGATTTTATGTTGTCCTCGGAGACCATTAGGTATTTACCTGTTGAAGAAAGTGACACTGTGCCCTACGACCTTTTTATGATACTCGGCATATTTAGTATTTGGAAAACAAGAATCGAATTTCGGCATGCTGACCCAAAAATTAAGTCTCTACAGAAGCATTTCATCGATATTGTAAACGAGGTTTAAACGGTGTATTGCAGAACACCAGAAACTACGCCTGAGTGGGCACACTTGTTCAGTGAAATTAGGAACATGAGAGAACTTTAGTTTGCCCACAAGTCGCTGGGCGTGAGCCCCTTGTAATGACATAGCATTTTGTGCTGCAATGTTGAGTTCAATAAAAAAACAAAAATTAGGTTCAAAATTAGTTCTCCTGTGTTTTACAGCGCGATATTAATATTTCCGAGGTGGTGCCTGTCCCTAGCCGATATTTATGCAGAAAGATCGGCGCTAAAACTTCGTTTCTGTACCCCTTTAACATACGAGTGCGACCCCGGACTGCAGCACCATTTAGCTTTTCTTCCAGTAACTTGAGAAGTTGCGCTTTACATTCCTTATGTCATCCTGAAAAACTCCAGGGCTTTGTTCTTCTTCGATAATTAGTGTCTTGAGGGACTGGACCAACACTCTTTTCTCTCGCGTGCGCTCGAGCTGTCGCTTCTGCGAAAAGTCAGTTGCGAGTTCCTTCAACTCCAATTTGAAGTTCTCCCACACGCAGACATCTAGCGGAGTTTCATTGGCAAGTACCTCAATCTTTTCTTTCACCATCGAAGCAAATTCTTCGTCTTGTAAGACCACGTCAGCCCTATACTCCTCCACCTGATTTAGCATCTCGCTTGACAGGTAAAGTCTGTCAAGGCGGGCGTGAGATGCTCCCTGCCAATGCGTGAAGCGCGGAGAAAAATCTTTTAGCGGGCTTGTGACGTCGACCAGGTTCAAACTGCTCTAACACGCTCTTCAGCTTAGTTGCACTCGAGTCGCTTATTGTAGCGTGGTTAGAGCGGTCACGGTAAGATAACATGCAGTTACATTCTCCGCCTAGAATGACTTTTCCAGGCGTGTACAAGATTCGTATCAAAGACTTGAAAAAAAAGACTGCGTTCAGCAGCATCATTCGGTGCATAAACCGACACTAGACGAACTAGTTCATTTTTAACGAGGCAGTCAACTCTGCTTACGCGACCGTCCGCGCCAAGCTCACAATCAACAACGGAAAAACACTTTTTTTTTTGACAAGCACCGCCGTTCCTCCAGACGCATTGCCAAGAGTCAATGTGTGAAAACACCAAAACACGTGTCCAAAGTACTGCACGAAGTCTTTTGCCTGCTCATGCGTGGAGGTTCTTGTTTCCTGAATGAAAGCAATATCTATGCGTTTTTCTAGCAGCAGACTGTGTAGCCATTCCTTACGTTTCCTTGCAACAGTACTAACAGCGTTAAAGGTTGCAATATTCAAAGGATTTGAGTTTTTTGCCATTCAATAAAGTGTTGGAGTTCGGACGGCTTACACGTGGGGCAGAACGTTGTCAATCTTCGAAGGCTGTTTCTTCAAGTGCTGAAGCACCCCGCTCTGTCAACCATGGTTGGCCTTGAGGTTCGGTGCCTTTCGTCCAACGCTTGGGGGTAACAAGAGTAAATCGTTGGTCAGCCGCAGTCGTACGCGCTGCACTTTTTTCCCATTGATCGCTCTCCCTTCCTTTTAATTGCCGCTTCACTCCGGTGACTTCTTGATCCGTTTTGCCATATGCCCCGCTGGCCTTTCTGTTTTCCTCGTCCTTCATCTCAACCGATTCTGGTGTAACTTGTCCTGCCTGCGAGTTCTCTCCAGTTTTCGGCGACGGCTTCTCTGTCATCTTGACTTCTGCGACGCTGCTTGCTGGTGGTGCTGGATCGGCTGCTCCGACGACGTCAGTCGACAATTCAGACGTCTTCCCTGTCGGAGTCGCGGCAATGGTTTACTCCATTTCATCTTGGTCTATCAGGTTATCGACGTCCTACTGTTCAGTTGGAGGCCTCGTTTTTGCCGCGTACGTCTGGATACAGTTGTCCTATTCATGTACGTCAGTGCGGCATGTCCACGGAGTGCGACACTGCTTGCGCATGTGTCCTAACTTCTTGCACCGTAAGCACTGAGGTGAGCGGCCTTGAATGGACACGAACGCTGGCATTCCGAGGATGCTGATTCGATGCGGGATAGCGTCCACTGTGATGCCTTCCTTGAGCACCATCGTGACTGTCCGCGTTGTTGTCTCCACATACTCAAAGCCTGGTTGCCTTCACTTCTCGCGCACGGCTGATTTCACTTTACCGTGCGACTCGAAGGTCTTTTGCACAGCTTCGTCGGGAAAGCAGATGGGAACCGAATGAACTTTGAATGATTTCTCACTCACATTCGGATCGATGACCAGGCAGGTCTTGCCCTTGACGTTGAGCACTGCCGTATGTAGCGGCTTCTCCTTCGCTGCCGCGTTGTGCAGGGTGAGCATCCAAACGTGGTTGTACTGCAAGGCACCGAAGCCGGCCACGTCATTCATGTGAACGACGTCCTTCAGAACGTCGCGAAAGTCGTCGATGCGATACGGTCTCGCTGATGGGTCGCCATGTAGAAAGACAGAATTAAAAGAGTAACGACCTGTTGGCAGCGTAGGCAGGATGATACGGTAGTCCTGGGGAGTCAAATATTCCGAATTCCTGTTGAAACCCGGCTAAGGTAAGCCGTAGAACGCTCTCCGCTGGAGCTCATGATTTCTTCACCACGCACCTCGGTATTCGAAAAAAGAATCTCCCTCGGCCACCGATCCCCCCACCACGGTACAACATTAACCAGTGACTATGTTTGATAAATAGATTAGCATTTATTATACGGCAGTAAGCTGACCACTTAGATACATCAAAAATAGAAGCAATTTATGGAATGCAGATCGGCTACTCATCTGAAGCATCTGATAGGCACCACGAACAAAAATACATTGCTGCAAGTAGGTTGGTCCACCTTTCGTATTGTTTTAGGAAGCTAAAATATATAAATTTTATGCTCCAAAAAATCTTTTAAAATTCATCGTTTTGTGTCTAGGTCTAAAAACACCACTTTGCAGGTTTAACAGAACACAACATATATTAACTACCGAAACATTAAAGCCCGTATTTTATTAAACATAGCGGTTACAAAATAGAACGCGCTCACTTGTGCTCGCTTGACACTTGTTCCGGAATATTATATCACATAAGGATCAAACACAACACGGCAGTTACTGCAATACCTTGGAAAGGGAATACATACATGTTCACAAAAACATAAGCACTCGTAAATGCGAGCTACTAGAAAACAATCCATGCGACATAATTATTGGGTTCAATTATGTATCTTGCGGGCTGGTCGGATTCGGTGGGATCACTTCCGTCAGTTTAATTTGACGTTAACTTTAAATTGTTGGCATCCCACACTTTGTCCTCCATTTTGTACGTCGATCTTAAAGGTGAGAGTGCCGTTCTGAAAGGAACGAGAAAAAGTAATTAAAATTATTTTTTATACTGGTTTCCACTTTGAATTTCCAGCATGGGTAGACAAGCCCAGATTTTAGTACAATGAATGGGTTTAAATAAAAACACTAAGTGCGGTGAAAGGGGTATTTCGGCGACATATGTATGCCTGGTTTATAAAATGGAAAGGTGTCCTTGTCACTTGCAGCCACACGCTTATCACAGTAGAGTTCTCAGGTGGGCTTCAGAGCCCGTGTGAGAGCGACCAACAACCCATTTCGTGTCGCTGTGAGCAGCAGGGCTTATTGTGCTCCCGCTTCTTGATCCCTGGCTTGTTCTATGGCCAAAATAACAAGCTCGAGCACACCCTTGGTTCCTTTAGCTGTAACTGACCATGCAAGATCTACGCTTTAAACCTTTACAATTCTGCCCGGGATGTACGCAGTTAGCCTCCCCAACTGGTACCCAGAGAGGTATACTTCCGAAAATCCCGAGGGTAATTCGCGCAGCAGGTCTATTTGAGTACCGCCTCATGCTTTTTCCCGCTTTGTTCTGGTCTCGGTATCTGCACCACACACGAGTTTACGTTACCATAAAATCTACATCATCCAAATCCGTTTCTTTAAGAATAGATTAATAAGGCATCCACGTGCCTAAGCAGAACGCGTCCGCTTTCAGCCTCGTTCGTTCCTTGCCGGTAATCCCGCGTTCGTAACAGTAGATCGTAACTAATATGAGGTTACGCTCTAGGCCGTCGTTTGCTTTCAACTCGGAGGGGTACACGAGCGTGCTTGAAGTGTCCAACAATTTTTATTAGCTCTACGTCCTCATTTTCTCTCCCAGCACGGTGAAGTGCAATCCCAAAGGGGCGGGAATGGTCTAGGTGCGTAGCTATATAATAAAGCAGCAATTGATTAAACACATTTATTACTAGACTTTCATCGCATATATCAGTCTCCATATTCACGGACAGCCTCAAATATGCCGGGCGTGGCCTTTTTACGGCCACGCCTCTTTACTTTTGATTGGTTCTTCGGTCGACTTATCGACTGTCATTGGTTGCGGAGCAATCAAAGCATGCTCAAGATTCGCCACGCCCGGCGTAGCTGTCAGTAACTACACAAGGCGGAATTGCCAACGCGCTTAAAATGTCTAAGCAATACGCAGCAGCAAATCGTAAGATACACCCACAACGCGCGTGCATTATCAGATTTTATATCCGATTTGTTTTTGCACCCTTAGGTGGATTTTTCACTGTGCATTTTATACCCATTTTCACCTCAACAAAAAGCCAGTTTTGCGCATTGTTCATACGCGGCGCGAAGTAGTTCTTTCGAGATTTTGTTGTCGGAAGAAAATGCGATGCTTTAGGCGTTTGGAACGTGTACGTCTTGATAAGATAACATATATCTAATCTAGAATTCACCCACATATATCCTAATAAACAGCATAAAAAGGGAAACTAGTAATGCTCCGCAAGGAGCTGGACTTTTTTCTACGGTTCTTGAGATGAAAACGGGTATTCGCGACTCCAGCGACCTATAGGGGGCGCCACCACCAAACAGACATGGCGGCTGAGTCCAGGTCGCGTCGGCTCGGCCGGGCCGCCTGAACAGGTGGCGCGTTCAATTTAACTGATATTCTTTGCTTTAATGCCCAATTTTATAGGTATTTGAACTGAGACGGTTAAGTGTAGCCGGTGCACATAAACTTGCAGAGCGTCGTTTGTTTTCCCGGTGTTTTTTTGTTCTTATCATGTCAAACTTTCGTTTCAGAGATTTCGTTGAAAACCAAAACTATGGGCTCCGGAGAGACGGTAATATACTAATCAGTTTTGATCATCTAAGGAAAACGGCGATGACTACAGAATTGTTCCACCGAGGGCAATAGGGTAATTGTCAGCTAACTCGCACGCCTCGGCCATGCGACTTATCTGTACGCGAAATCTAGCTTTTTTGCGTATCGGCGTTTAAGAAACAGCTCCAGTCCGCTGCTCGGTCAACAACACAGGCTGCAGGAAAATTACGAAAATTAAGCAAGCGCTTCTTGAGCCAAGAACCATGTTAACCCGCCGGCGCCCCACTAAGCAGCTTATACTCGTATTTCATTTCAGGTTTTAGTAGCAATCGAGAAGTAATTTTGACGAGCGGGCTATGTAGTATATTACGTACTATGTCCCACTAAAGCGATATTAGTATATTGTTTGGGTTGAATATGAGCTTAATTGACTAGCTATTAGGTGAACTGCTGAATATAAGTATATTTGACAGACAGAGAGATACTACTTAAACTTAGCCAAATGGTTCTAGCCGGCAGCACGGAGACAAACTGAAGAGAGTCTTCATCGGAGATTCACGCAGAACCTCTCTGCATTGAACTTCGCTTTGAATCCTGCACGGAGAAAATTAGTATTTTTTGCGGCCAGTCAACCTGAGCAATGTGGACGTATACTGCTGCTGGCTCCGACGAGGGGTATAATATAAATATTGGAGGCGCGATAGATCAAAATGTCGTGACAGCTTGTAACGTTGCGAGAATCGTCCCCCACCTTTTGAAAACCAATAATTTCCCTCATTCATCATTTGCAGCGAGCAGGTTTTCCTGGATCAAGTAATTGCGCAATCAGCAGAACTCCTTGAGTGTGGTTCAGAGACTTTTTTGGCGAAAAGCAGGCAAGATCAATAGCCAACGCACCGACCGGCGTGAGTGGCTCCAACTTGAAGCTAACCGAACACAACCAAACTCAAGAAAAGCAGCTATCGAACGTTCCCATTCACTTGACTGCAACGTTGGTGTTCCCTCCAGTGAAATGCCTCGTCTGTCGTCCTCAGTCCACTGTTCTACACTACAAAGAAACCACTCATCAGTTACCAAGCAGTCGCCACTTTGAATGTGATTCGAGACAGAAAAGGAATCAAAACGTTTTTCCGTGATTTCTCCCCCTCCAAGAAATCGAAAGCACGCAACCGTGTGTTGTGGAGTAAACGGGCATTCAAACACGTGATGGAAGGATCTACTGAGGCTTCACCACACTATTGAACACTCAGGCAAATTTAAGAAATTTCCGGACTTTCGTCAAACTACATTGTTCGCCGCCGCGCCGACGACACGCGTCCGCGAAAGCCACCAGAGACGCGGAGGGGCGCGGAGCTACCTGGTCCGGCTGGTCCCCGGTTTTCCCGCTTGGTGGCTTCCGTTTTGATGGAGTCACGAATAGTAGCCTGCTGGTTTTCTCCAGCTTATGTTTACGTCGATGTTTCTCATTTTAAAAAACAAGCACCCGCAAAAAATGTTACTTTATGCTGTCTCGAGGCTTGCTTGGACACTTGCGTTTGCTTAGGATCGTGTTCTTGTGATCACTTACGACGAGAGAACACTCTGCCACGTCAGCGCCATCTATAAGATAACGCGGCCTACAACCGCTTATCACTAGAGTGAAGGTTATGCTCTACTTGCGAGAACAGATGTACGTACTATCTATAAGAAATGGTCGTTTATAACATTGTCAATGGGTTTTTGGAGCCAAGAGAGAAAGCCCGATACGCAAACAAAGTAGAAAATATACGGAATTGTGGAGTGTTCCACGGCTACCCGACAGTTGGCGCCGGTGTCTCGTTGTTACGGGTTTGAAAAGGTTTTGAGGCACGCGGTCGCAAGAAGTCGCAAATCTTGGAACCAGCCTTCTTTGAATAGGAACTGAGTATGCGCACCCCAAGGAGGAATCCGATTCCCTCGGGTAGCTCAGCAGCCAAGGACTGCGTGTAGGTGTTCGGTGCGATGGGGCAGGTGTTGTTCCACAGCGACCCAAGGCCTTTCTCGACGTCGGTAGTTCCCCCGCAGAGCTTGTATGTGCTGAAAGGCAGAAATACACGTGACCCGTAGAGAAAGACATAGACTCTAAAAAAAACGCACAACGCTCGGAGAGCCAATCAGCGCAACTTACAGAGGCAGCTCAGCGAATGACAATGCCGAAACATTAGTTTAGATTAAAAAACGCAGTCTGAGTTGTGGCATTAAGCAATGCAAGCGTGACGTTTTGCATTGCTTAATGTCACAACTCAGACTGCGTTTCTTGGTTTAAACATATGTTTAGGCATCGTCATACGCTGAGCTGCCTCCGTAAGTTGCGCTGATTGACTCTCCGAGTGGTGTGCGTGAAAGTAGACGCACAAACTTGTTCAGAGTGTATTTGGCAATTTAGCGGTAATAAGATGCTCGAGCCAAGCTCTGAGTTTCTTAAGTTGTCGGGGAACCTCACATTTTCTTTCATTCCAGGTCAGGATTTTACAGCGACTCTGGAGCAACTATTTAAACCATACTATCTTTTTTTTATGTTTCACTGTACTCACAAATCTAACATGGCCTTCATGTGTCACATGGAACACTTTGTTTTTTACATTAGAAACCGAGGCTTGGGACGACTTTTGGTGGACTTAGCATTTAAGCCGTTCCCAAAGACCCTTGTAAACCTAACGCTAAAAGCACGTAAGAATACATCACCCCGTAATACAAGCATTCACTCTAAAAAATGTTTGTGCGCCTACTTTCACGCAAAACACTTGGAGAGCCAATCACCGCAACTTACGGAGGCAGCTCAGCGAATGACAATGCCGAAGCATTAGTTTAGACCAAAAAACGCAGTCTGAGTTGTGACATTAGGCAATTCAAAACATCACGCTTACATTGCTTAATGTCACAACTCAGACCACGTTTTTTGGTCTAAACATATGTTTCGGCATTGTCATTCGCTGAGCTGCCTCCGTAAGCTGCGGTGATTGGTTCTCCGAGTGTTCTGTGGGAAAGCAGACTAACGGGCTTTTTTTAGAGTGTTAAGAGTTTAAGAAATTCAGAACGTGGTGAGTCCCAGTCATTTTATTATTGCTCAGCAGCCAATGATAATAATAAAAAGAGGTCCAAAGAACCAATCACGAAGCAAGAAGTAGAAATATCATAAACCACGCCTTTCTTTAACTGCCAGGGACACTCCGTGGTTGTGGAAATGTGGGGGCTATTGCACTTTCGACAAATTTAATTTTGGCCCCCTTATATCTCAGAAATAGAATTGTCTACTGAGGGTTGGGACTCTTATAGCTACTACCCAGCATCAATAGATTCGTTGAGTCTTAGCCTTGCTACGATGAGATGGCCCTGCGAGATGGCGCCACCGGCCCTGGCGCGCCTCGATTTGAACCAATACGTGCAGTCGTGCAGTTCCCGAAGTGTACGCTGCGGGAGAAATGGCGGCGTTGCGATTGCCATTAGCTTGGTTCTCGAGTACGGATCGGAACCACTTTTTTAAAAAGTGGTCCCTCTATGACAGTTTCCCAGCTGAGTGGTTCTAGTAACGTTGGTGTTATCCTATTCCAAACTTCGTCCTTTCAGTGATGGTGGGGTCTCCGTCTTGGACTTATTCTTTCTTTCCATAAACTGTCCGAACGTAAACGCCAAATGCCGACTGGGTGTCGATTAAAAAGATGAACCCGATTAATCGCCATTTTTAATCCATTAATTAATCGATTAATAGATTTCGGTCTTTCCCGTGCATAATAATTCTGAAAATATCAAAATCACATGTTTTGCCTCAGTTGCTGAATATGTGATAAACGGAGTAATGTACAATTTCGAATCTTAAATCAATCTTGATATGTAGTCTAGAAAACTCAAAAGACATCTACAGTAACAAATTATTACTTCAGTCGCAGAGGCAAAAAGGTGCGTTGATATTCTCCTACAATAGCGAAATTCCAGGATAATTCGCAGTAGTGTCTGCTGCGCTTAATGGACACTCGCACGGCGTTGAAGTGGCTGGGACATGTACAACCTTCTTCACTTGTTTGGAGCACAGATCTCTCCCCTACAGTTTACTTTCTGTCAATATTCCACCTAAAGGTGGCCTTGATGCAGGTGCACTCGTCCTCGTCTGCGTGGTGCAAGTGTTGCATTTTTACTCTTTTTTTTTTGACAGAACCAAAACGACTAACCGTTTAAAAAAATTAATCGCTATTAAAGAATTTAATCGATTAATTGGCGGGTTAATCGATCAAGGGCGCAGCTCTACCGAACGCCGAACGCCTAACTCCAAAACGCCGGCGTCCTTCGTTCGGTGTTTGCGTTTGGAGAGTTAGTGGATGGTACCGTTGTATGTCGAGACCGGTTATAACGAAGTCAACGGGAATCGGAAATCACTTCGCTATATCCGCTATTTCGTTATAACCGAGTTCGGTTAACGAAGTGCCAAAGGAAAATGGGAAATCGCGATCGCTTCGCTGTAGCCGCTATTTCGATATAACCCACTTCGTTATAACCGGTCTCGACACTAGAGACAAAGCCAACTACTTTCTGTCTACCCACTAAGTAGCGTAGTGTCAGAATGTCGACCTCATGATCATGGGGTTTTGTGTTCGATTCCCGTTGGGAGGCGTTTAAAATGTCGTTCTTTTTTCAGTTTATACTTTTTTATAAGAAATTATCTTCCGAAGTACGTGTTAGACATTTTGTAACGGCTTCCATGGCGTTCCGTCGCACTCTCTTCGGGGACCCCAGCATTTAAACATATTCTGCATTAAAGTAGCCAGTGTAGTACCGCAGACACAGAAGCAAACGAAGAGCATGTCCCCATAAAATATTTAAAGGGGTAGTGCAGCGATATTCGCCTGGTATGTTTTTCACTTCACACGAATTCACTGGCACTGGTGGGACTTATGTATACTCGCACACGACGCCATTCGCCAAGAAACCTTTTCGTTGTTGTGTAATTTCAAGGTTAAAAGCGAGCGTATTCTTCCAATCTCTCCTTCGCAAAACTTGATTACGTAGCATGGAGGTCACAATGTCGGCCAGGGATTTCCACAGGAATTGAAATTAGGGGGGGGAAGGGAAGGTCTAAATACTAAGGGGGGGGGGGGGGGTAGGGGGGGCAGTGATAATAGACGAGTCGTTGCGAATTAAGGGGGTACCTTCAGAAAAAAAAAAGAGGGGAGGGGTGTTGTGGCGAAATCACTGGTGTCGGCATAGTCCCCCAGTGACGCTATTTGAATGCGTCTCATAGATTGTCCCCGAACATTGCGTGAGCACTCGGTTTGAGCTCGTGATAATCGATAGCTCGACAAGCATTCGGGTAGTGGCTCGTGTCCAACCGTGGCAATGACGAGAATTTTCGAACTCTAACAGTGTCTGGAACTCAGCGCGTGTCCTGTGCTTTGCCAACCCCAGCGCGTGACTGTGATTAACATTGGCGGCATGGCCCCTTGTTTTGGCTAGGGTTCCTTCATGTGCGCTCTGCTTAGGGTGGTGGCATCTCGCCATTTTGTCACACACGTTTATTTTTATTTTTTGTTCAGAAGCGCGTGAAAGAGCGTGTCCCTGCACGCGCTTGTGGCGCTGACTGTGCTATGGCGACATTTTGTTTTCGTCGATTTCTTTGTATTTTCCCCGTGAGCGCGTGCTGTCGGCATGTGGTACTACAAAGGGTGGCATCACCCTAAACAGAAGGACATTGAGGCACCCTAGTTCTGGCTGCAAATTGAGGGATGAACGCTGCTCGTTTTTTTTTAAGTTTTTTTTTTTTTTTTTGTAACTTCTACTGAGTGTGTTGACAAAGGAGCGCGTGTTTCATAGGTCATTAAGGCCAGGGAGTCCCTACAAGCGGTATTCACGCGAAGTACGAAAATCGGTGCGCCGCCCCTTTGACGCAATTTCTGCACTTACCATGAACCGACGTTCGCGATGCAGGCTATTTGTTGCCCGTTGTTCTTTGTCACAGTTAATTTGAGCTTAGGGCTGCTGTTCAATGCGCTCGTGATGGCTAGCGTAAAGTTCAACGTCATGGTCTTTCCCAGCTCTGCGTCCGTGATGGCGACGTTGCTCAGCTGAACCTGTTGTGCAGCTGAAGTGAGAAACAAACTTTTAGAAATGTGTTAAAAAACTAAGATGGAAATTTAACTGGTGACCAGGCTATGTCTTTATATTTGTTATGATATTTTTATTTTGTCACCAAGAGTAGCCTGCACGAATTTCAAATTGTGGTATCACTTTCAAAGGCTAGTAGATCGTTTTGCGGGCTTTGGGGGGGGGGGGGGGGAGTGCCGTGATGAACTGAACTAAATGCTACAAGATCACGGAGACTACAGTAACTTTTCGGGCATCTCATTATCGCTTAACGGCCAATCAAATTACGCAATTGGCCGACATGAGAACACCCGGGAGCGAATTATGGAGAGAAAAATGTGACCCTAACATAAATCACGCTCAGGGATCTTAACCTTTCAGGGTCTACAGCTGCTCTGTTCTGGTACCCTGACCTTTCATGAGACATCTTTGGTTCACTTCGTTTGCTGAAAAGCACTTCCTTTCTTTTTCAGACTTATTGTAGAGGTAATATATACTGAGTTTCATTACATGTCTCAACTTCCACTTCAATGTGCATGCCCTAAGTAAAACTTCTAAACTAGCTTTTTATGCACATCGTTTGGCGCTAAAATATATATATATATATATATATATATATATATATATATATATATATATATATATATATATATTACATTTGACACGGGAAAAAGAAAACTAAGCAAGAAAGGCAACCAACCACAAAATCAGAGGAAAGCGAACCGACGAAGACGTATACGACTAGCACCTAGAAGACAAGTCCTGAGCGTGACGTCACCGCTAGTGGCTACCCCGACTCGCTCCAAGCGGCAAACACGCTGAAGCTTCGAGGAGAGGCGTAGCAAAGAGGCAGACGCGTCCCTCTCGGCTTCACCACTTGCTAGCGTCACGCTTGTTGTGAGACGCTGCATCACGCGTAGACAGCGCTGCGTCGATTCACGAGTGATGACGTTTCCGACAAAGATGCAGGCCTCGTCTTCTAGCTGGTACTGCGTAAACAGGTGGGCGACTTCGTCGTGTTCGGGGCAGATACACAACGCATTACAAGATATGGGTCCCTCGAGACACGACAATCAGACAAGCCTCTTTCTTAACGTATTTCCTTTTGTTTTTACAATACAGTTCGCGGACCAAGCTAAGTCTAGTTAGGAATGTCATTCTTACATGAGCAGGAGGTGAGGGTGGGAGTCTGAGTGGAAGCCATGCAGAGGCTGGTCATGGAGATAGCGATGAGCAATCCTAGGAACAGCATTGCGACGCCAGTTGGGAGTTTAATGATCAAGCTGGAGGAAGGTGTACTTCAGTGAGGGGGATCTCGCAATCATAATTGCGTTATATACTCAACACTCTGAAATGAGAACTCGTGTTTTTTTTTTGTCGTTTAAAGGGCCACGTGTTAACCTCGACAGGAAACGGCAGAGCGCGCGGCCGTTCTCATTTACTGACAGTGCACCTGCCGCCATATCGTCATATTTCCAAATACCGAGACTCTTTTGGGGTTTGTAGAAACACACTGAACTCGTCCGCAGAAGGAATAACTCGATAGAACTAACCATGTGACTGAAACTTTTAATTTACTACGAGGTTTAATTAAATGGGGCATCCGGTGCGCTTTATATTTAACCTAAAAACGTTTCCTTTTTATAATTAAAAAAACGCCCTCGAACCATCCTTCGTAAATATCCGTGAGATATGCTTTTATTTTATTTTCTTTTCTGGATTGGGCCCGTGCTGACTTACTGGTATACTTTAGTTCCCAGGATTATGCTAGGTACCGCAATTTATGGTTTAAGCTTACAAGGGGCTGTAGAGTCGTTAAACACAAAGTTAGAACCGAAAGTTCTCGGAGCGCGACGATTGGCCTTGGCCGCCTAAAGTGCGGCGTCAGCATCACGGGACTCCAATCGATGCGCCCCATAAACTTCAGGCGAAACTTTTAGTTTGACGAGTTTAGGGCCCCCAAAGTAACATCTGCCACAAAGAAGACAGTTTCCCGGAACGTCTTTAGAGCGACCGGTCTGTCAGCGCACGCCACTCGTGGCACAGCGCGGTGCACGCGCGACGCTCATAGGCAAGATCGCGAATCGATTCGCCGAACACATAATGCCATTCGATGGAACGGACATTACTTTTTTCCGTGTAGCAAAACTATTAGACGCACCTCTATAGGGAGTATTTACTGGCGGCCATATCGGTGTGCGCTGCTGCTGAGCGCGTGCTGACGGCGAGCTTCCAGAGTCCTTTTGGAGCGTGCATTTAGCACCATCAAGGTTGCCGGTCTTAGGAGGCTATTAATGTGAGCTCGTTGTGAGCATGCGCTCTAAACATCGCCCTCAAATATGGCGTCCAGTGAATACCGCCTATACCGACGCGCTGCTTTCACACAAGTGCCCAAGAGGTATGGGCGAACGTGCAGTTCCCACAGAATAAGGTATATGGTCAATGCGCATGCGCAGGAACAAAATTCGCGTGAAGTATTTGCTTATGCGCCCTGCCAATATAGCAGTGCCCCCGGAGCGGCGTAGCGTGAGCGCCGTGTATTGGTGTATACACTTTTGCAAGAAGTACACTCTGGCCGCCGCCATTTTGCGACTCGAGTGACCCCTATCGGCCAGAAATGTCTGCCACCCACCTGAGCTGTGGAAACCTGGTCAGCGCGACCCCCACCCTGCATTGCGAATTCGGAATTCACTGGCTTTCTTTTAAGTTTTCACTTTATTTTCCTTTTCATGATGCTTACTTTTTTGTGTTATCTTCTACTGTGAGAATCAGGGAATACCAGGGCTCGTAGCTTGCTCGCCCTTCGCAGGAAACGAGCGAGGAGAAGGAACGTCAAGCAGCCCGCGGCCGCGACGTGGATCGTTCGATTTTCTTCGAAAGTTATTTCTGTTGAGATAATCTCCGAAAACCCTTCCCGGAATTGATATGCTGTATTGTTTGAGGCCTGTCTCAACTCGTGTTCGGATAGCGCGGCACCGTGGGGTACGTACAATATATGTTGCTCGATTGATGAGACTCGTTGAGTTTCATGTTGTGAGCGGAAAATACCCATGCAGTTCGGTTATCCTGTGTGATCAAATATTTTGGACAGTTAACACCTTTGTAGGTTGACACGGTTGAGTGTAGGGTGCCGTAAAAAGATCACCATAAAATTAAACAAACATTCCAGTTGTATTTGTTCTGTCACGCACGGACTCACAAAAAAGAGCATTCATTTGTCGTTGCATAGGTCGTTGTTTCTCTCAACAATAGTACAATTCGTTTGAAAAAAAAAACGGAGAAATTCTGTTCGCCATAGAACAAAATTTAAAAAATAAAAAGGGCCACCAGAATCCGGAATTGCACCTCTGCCTGCCACAGCCTACTGACGAGAAAACCCACTGTCCAGCGCAGTCGGGCAACACTGACGTACACTCTCAAAACCATGGATACGCGCTGTGAATCGCTTCATTCGAGACCGCCGCTGGAAAGATATATACACCTCTTCCATATGGGCGCAGCCATCTTGAATATCGTCAGTTCTGGTATGCGGTAACACATCGTTTTGTTTTCTCCATGCCTCTGGAAGGCGTTTACGAAAAATGGGTGATTGTCACACATTCTTGTTTTGCCTCACCTATACTTTCTCGCCAATTTCAGGTTGCAATGTTTTAATATCTTTTCGTCCCGCATACCATATTAGCTACGGAACCCACGTGATTGAGAACTGAAAACGACAGGAAACGGAAAACGTCTATAGGCCAACGCTCTTAGATCTATCAGTTGACAAACTCATGGTTGAAAAAACCCCGAGACTGCTGGTAAACGACACAACACTAAAAAGTCTCTAGCGCCCTTACTTTTTGTTCATTAATAGAGACTTTTTAGTGTTGTGTCGTTTACCCGCAGTCTCGAGGTTTTTTCAACCATGTGCAATGTACACCAGCTCGTTTGCGCCCTTACTTTTTGTTGACAAACTCCACGGGAGAGCGGAGTTCGAAAACGGTTCTTCTCCCCTCACCTCCCGTCACGCGAGCAGGAGAGGGCGGATAGCCTTCCTACCGCCACCACTTCAATGCATCCACGAGCATCGGAGAATGAATTTTTTATTTAACGACGATTTTTTTGTGTTATGTACAGCGAAAACTTTATGTTTACCATAAAAACCACAATAAAATGACTTTGAACAGCAGATAATGTGCATCCAACGTTTCACCAGTCCCGCCGTGTCGCTGATACTAGGCCTGATAGTGTAGCAAGCGCCGCCGAGCGTGAACGCTGATAAAGGCATCAAGTCAGAGCCGTTTATACCATAGAGTTATTAACAATAAACGCTAGAGGCTCAGGTGGCGCTCGTGTGATGTTGCATTTTGAAGCAAACAACAACCAGTCTAAATTTGACTTCCGGTAATGCATTCCTATGGGAAAAGGCAAATGGGTTTACTCTTCGCGTTCGATTATAAGAACAAGTATTGCTTATTTTTGTGACAGAATGAAAAGTTTGGAACGTTTTACAAACGTATGTACAAAATTGTGCGTCAGTTAGAGCGTCCTTCGTTAGGATTCATGTCGTCGAACACTGCGCTAAAATAGCCCAATAAACATGTATAATACTTGTCGACGTTGCAGACGGCTATTATAGGGCATGTATTTAGGCATACACTCAATGCTATGAAGCACACAGAGTAAATCAATGGGACAAAAAAAACCAAAAGCATGCCAATATTTGCCGAATCAAGCAATCAAAACAGACGACAAGAACGAAGCATGAAGTTATGAAACGAAGAACAGGTACTGGATTAGTAACAAACTGTGCATGGATAATCAAAATAAAGCAGTAACCGAGTGTTGTTACTCTTAAACAAACTCGATTGTTGTTTCTCTAAAATAAATAACTTTTGTCTTCATCCTTCTGGTTATACATAGATAATAAAATATAGTTTCGTTTACTCGTTCGTAATTTTTGACAATAGCGGGACGCTCCAAGCGCACGGTCCCGGCTGTTTGTTATACAAAATATTTTGAAACGTAATACCCGCTGTTGCCTCACGTACCTTTTTTTTATTTTTCTCGTTAATAACCATGCACGAATTTTAGTGCGGAGAAATGGATCAAACAACACTGGCCCGGTTGTCGTCTTCTATCCACTATTCCCGCGCGCAATTCAATCCGAGTAAAAAAACTGTTGCACATCACGAGAAAAAAACGGAATGCCTAGGTTATGAGCCGAATCGGGGAGCAAGAACCGCGAAGTGAAGGCTTCGAGACTATCATTTCACGCGTAAGTAGTGATCGAATATTATGCGACGTATTCATTAGATAGGAAAAATTAACAAAATTACCGCGCGCTCGCGTATACGGCTTGCATCAAAGCTCCTCATTTGATATTCGAGATTTCCTCTTAAAAATGACAGCCTTTCGCAGAAGTGGCCCCTTGTGTATGGGGCCAACTTTGGTCCAGCAGCGCACCAGGTAATTTGCTCGCAACACTTCAAGCTGCACTGCTTCGAAGAAGGGTTTTGCGTTGATAACAGGCTCAAGGGAGACGCTGCGCTCCCAATCATTTCTGCAGCCTCAGCATCGTGTGTCAATCTGTAAGGTAACAAAATACCCGTATACCAATTGCGGATCTTTAGTAATATTTGAGTTGTCTGTATGTTTATACAACCTAGAACTTGGTCTGCCTCAACGGGTGACGAGTCTCCCAGCTGTATATGCGAAATTTAGCCAGTGCAGTACAACCGCTAGCCTGGGGTCCTTAACGTGCATCACGCAGCAGTGATACACGACCGAACGCCGGTACGATGCTCATCCAGATTGAAAAGGGCATTGGTGGGGATGGATACCAGGGTGCTGGGTTGTGCAGCGCAAGCCTTCGCTCCACGTGCTCCGAGCTGGTGTTCGCTAGCCCATTTGGCCACCGATCCCCCCAATATGCAGATCTTTAATAAATTATGTTTACTGAGCTCGCAATCGGGCTCAACCAAACGACAACAACAACAAAGCAAGGAATAAAATATTTAAAAAAAAATCTACAGAAGAAAAGACAACACACATATGTGTTATCAAGATGCCGACGTGCCTTTCCTAAACGTTATGAGAGCATAAAAGAAATGTAAGTTTCTGTTGTCATGTCTACAAAAAAGCTGTAAACGTCACTGGAGAATGAACCTTTAATAGGAGGTCAACTGGGCGAGCTTTTACAAGTTTGACATGGTGGGTATAACAGCTTCAAAAAACGAGGGCGATAAAAGGGGCAAGCACTACGGCCTG